ATTTAATATGAAATAGTCATTAGCAATCTCAGGTCAGTTCGGTAAGTCCCTTTTCCATCTCTAGGTCGCTCTCCTGTACATTTGCCTTTCTTCTCCTTGTCGATCTTGATCCCCTCAGACTGAAACAAGGGCACTAAGCAGGATGGCAAAGGAGACCTTCGTCCTTATCCATGCGATAATAATAATAATAATAATAATAATAATAATCTATTGACAATTATAATAATGTTATCTAATTTACAAGTAAAAATATATTAACATAAGAATTAAATTAAATGAAATTAAAATATATTAAATTCCTAAATTATTAAAAGCTAATCTATTCATAAAATTCATTATATAGTCTAATATTCATTATATATTTAAATTAATAGTAATAATAATATTTTGTTTCTATATCGATACCGAGTGGGCCTGGAACAAAGCTCGAGGAACGCCTACTGTACTTTGCAAACTGAACAGCCGACAAACACAACGAACRAGAACATCCGTAAAATGAGGTCTGTTAAACTCCTATTTATTATTTCTTCGTTTGCTTTATACCTTAATCTCTCTGTGGGCAAAGAAGCCAAGAATCTTCCCAAAGGACACGGAGCTGAATTAGGGAAACACAGAGAATCCGACGGCCATGTAGACGTCCTAACAACGATCCCTTCACCTCAAGATTTTTGGGATAAGTACGCGAGTATTCAAAAGCCTGTAGTTTTTCAGGGTGCTGCTAAAAACTTTCCAGCGCAGTCATTATGGACAGACAGCTATTTAAAGAAAAACTACGGAGATTTAGAAGTTAAGTTAGAAGCAAAGAAAGAGAAAGACCATGTTCCTGTTGGCGATCGAGGAGTTGGTCGAGACACTATTAAGAGTTTCCTAAATTCGTATGTTCAGAAGGATTCATACATGGTCACTCAATTACCGGATCCTTTGGCTAAAGAAGTTCGTATCTTGCCTTGTTTAATGTGTGGGACTTTTTCTGAAAGGATTCTTGAAGCGAATYTATGGTTAAGTTCTGGTGGGACTAAAAGTATGCTTCACAAAGATGCGGATAATGCTATAAATTGTCTTTTGAATGGGACGAAAAATTGGATTCTCATCCATCCAGAGAACGAGGAAAATGTAGGTTGAATTATTATTAATTTTTCTAGTTTTAGTTATCTTAAAAGTTATGTCTACAGTTTTTTTATATTTTYCTTGTTCACACTATGCAATTAGAGTGTTTTTAAAGGTCATTCATTAGGCAGATATGCAGGTGTATTGWAATGCAAACAGCTGTTTTGTTTTCTATGAACTCGAGTTAGCTTTTTGTTTTTTACGAGACATTTGGTTTTCTTTCATGTAAAAAACCCCCACAAAACTAATTATCGAATTCAACAATTAAAAATATATTGTATGAAAATTTGGTTACCAAGAGATCAAAGACTCCAAATAATGTTTGTACATACTTAATGCAGTAGAAAAATTCTTGTTTTTTCTTGTCTGATGAGAGGTGCACTTTTTTAAAAGTTTTTCAGTATAATTAGACTTTTTTAAACATTGTTAGGTCTAAAAAATTTACTCAGAGTAGGATGATGATGAATTATATCAAGAATTTTTTTTTTTGATCTTTTTGTCACATGCTTTGTTTTCATGTATATTTTTCTTCCTTATGTTAATTTTTAGTAAAAAATAAATTATAACAGGATTCATCTTTTGTTATATTTATCTATGGGCTGACCGTAATCAAACCTTAAAACAACCTCTGGTCTGATTTAAGTGAGAAAACAGCTTAGACTTACAGACAGAACCCTGAAACAACCTCTGGGCTGATCTAAGTCAGGGCATGGCTAACTCACAGACAGAACCCTGAAACAACCTCTGGGCTGATCTAAGTCAGGACATGGCTAACTCACAGACAGAACCCTGAAACAACCTCTGGGCTGATCTAAGTCAGGACACAGCTAACTCAGATTTTATATTTACCAAGGACTCACGCTAGTTATGAATGATCTCAATGACACAGCAAAAGTTATTTTAATTTTATTAATGTTGTAACATATGTTGTACAGATACCAGTTGCTGAAGGTGACAAAGGATATGGAGGATTTGCTGTCCTCGACGTGGATCAAGTTAATTTATTGAAATACCCAAACTTCACCAAGGTGCACTGGCAATATGCTAATATGACTGCTGGGGACTGCCTCTACCTGCCTTATAGTGAGTCTATCGGCATGTTCGATTGTTACATGCTATTGTCTAATAATTGAAAAATGGTTAATCAATGGTTGATTGATACAAAGTAGCCAAACATATTTTCATACTTTAAATTTGTGTTTTATATCTCTAATTAGCTATCTCTTTTCGCTCTAGATTACTTGTTTGTTACTTTCATAGTGGGCTACCTGTGGTGCATAGATTAAAGCAAAATACTCGTCCACAGTATCTCTCGTTTCAATATTTTYAAGATGGCGGCAAAAACRAGAGAGACTGTGGACGAGTATTTTGGTTCCCAAAGCRYGCTGGGTCCAAGTTTTCGGGACCCATAAGTCCTTTTGGTCATTGTACCGTTACAGTCACTCTAAGCGTGGAGAYGGAACGGACGAGCWAGAGACTGTGGAAGAGTCTATRGAGAAAGTAAAAGAAAATAAAGGCATGTTGGGAAGGCTAATTGATAATAATAATGATTTGATAAAATTGCTCATCTTAGGTTACTGGCATCAGGTCAGGTCATATGGCTCCAAGAACATGGCCGTTTCTGTTCTGTTTTCAAGACTTACAAAGTTTAACAGTACAGGATGTAAAACAGCTAAGCTAGAATATACACCTTTAAGTGATATCAATATGGTGTGGACCTACCCTGGCCATGGACCACAAACTATGGGGAATCTAGACCCATTTGAAGTGAAGTAAGCWATGTATTTCATAATCCAACCCTAAGAAAACCCCCGGGATGGTCAATCAGGACACAGTTAACTATCACATTGAAGTGGAATTTAGCTTGTTAGGTTTTGAGGAGGGAAAAACTGGAAAACCAGAGAAAAACCCTCCAAACTTTAGGKAGAGACCTAAMAAACTCTACTCGCATGTGTTTGAGTCCAGGAATTGAATCTTAGACCCCAGACATGAGAGGTGAATGTACTACCACTATGCCACCCTTGGTTCACTAATGTATGTGATGTTGAGTCCAGGAATCTAACCCTAGACCCCAGAGGTGAGAGGTGAGTGTACTACCACTACACCACCCTTGGTTCACTAATGTGATGTTGAGTCCAGGAATCAAACCCGAGACCCCAGACATGAGGGTGAATGTACTACTACTAAGCACCCTTGATTCTTAAGGTCTTTTTTAGCAACAACCTTCTGATCAAAGTTTTCTGGTACTGAATTAATGAGACATGCATGAGTTATTAGATCATTTTGATCATATTTTAAACTCATTCATTCCCACAATCCTATGCAGAGTGAGGCTGTTACCAGTCCTCTTTGGGAGYGAATATGGTTAAGGTGGCTGGTGACTGATTGTGCCATCCTTCTGTCTTTCTAGAGATAGTTATTTGGCTGCTTTGAATGAAAAGAATGATGGTCGCATTACTGTTGATGATTTGTTTGAACAGTATTCTGAGGTATGTTATGAACTGCCCTCACTTATACACCCGATTGAAATAACTATTGTTCTGCACCGACTAACGACTGACTAGCCTCTCATACGTGTGAAAATGYTTTTATGTTTCCACGTGAACACAAGGCTAGTCAGTCGTTAGTCGGCTCAGAGCAATAATTATTCAAGTGACTCATAATATTTTGATTCTGTGTATGACCCTTAGAACATGTTTTGTACATGTTTGTTTTAAAATTTAGTTTTTTAAATTAATTTTTCTAAATAGGCAAAACTTTATGAAGATCACCCAGTAATAAGAAAGGAGATTGCACAAAAGGTTAGTATGAAATATGAGGCTTGTGCTTTGTTGTAATTCTGGATGTAGAGCCAATTTAAGATTTTTTAAAAATTTGATTAAAATCTGTACCTAGAGGAAAYGGATTGCTCATCATCATTCAATCAATCAATCACTTTATTAATGTGTCGTTCTACTAGCTTGCCACAAGTGAATATACTAATCTGGGACACCTAAATAATTACACGAATTACAATAATACACTTAGCCAGTTATTGATTATGAATATTCTATGGTACTTGAGTTATGTATATGTTATAGGATATATATATTGATAAAGACTAATTATAAAATCTATAGAAAACAATATATTAATGCCATGTATATTAATAAAAGTATATGCTAATACGCTAATAGAAGTGTTCCTATAATGATTTTAGAATTATATTCAAAAATGAAATGAAGTAAATAAATAAGTTAATTGAAATTTAAAGTAAAGATAAAAGTAGAGTAATTACTAACACGGCAGCTTGTTGACTGAAACAGCAGATTTCTCCATGTGTAGCTCTATCATGCAAGCGCTTGAGAATAAATATATGCAGTTTAAACAATGGTTTTCATTCTCATGGGAAATTACCATGGTGCCATGTGATTATGGTCCATGGAAGAAGAGGAAAGATGAGAACTAGAAATAGTTAGGGTAGGGAAGGTCAAATCTAGTAAATGCTTCCCTTCCACTTTCCTTCCCTCTACTTCTCTTYCTTCTCCTCTTCTATCTCCCTTTAATCAATTTATTAATTCTAATGCAGGTCCTAAATATATTAGACCCAGACAACAAAGGGTTTGTCACTAAAGATGATGTTGAAGCTTTGACTGTTGAAAAACTGAAGGCAGTTGCTAATGTTGTAGACCCTGATGCTGCCAACACAGAGGAGTACGAACATGTTATTTTTGGAGCAGATGAAGTTAGGTAAGAAAAGTTGAGAAGAATGCTTTTTGCTATTAATGCTGGTCTATGGTGGTGTCTCCATTGCTCATGCTTGGCGGCACAAACCAAGAGACCAATATTAAATTAATTATCCTTTTGATTGTAAACGGTGCGGCATCAAAGGTACTAGTCTGTCAAGCCCYCAAACCTATATGATGCAAATCTAGCACAGAGTATGAAGATGATATTTTGAAGGAAAAAAAGTTGGAAAGCTGAGTCTATAGGTACTTTATAAATTTTTTTYCTCATCTTTTCGCGGTGTATAATTTACCTTTTCATCATTACTGTTTCATTAGAAACACCGAAGCAGCTCACACTAGTTTTTAGCTAGTTTTTTTTTAGCTATCTCTTTATTATTTCAGTTAAATTGATTAAGATTCGTTTTGAGAAATGTTGCTCATATATGTGCACACTTGAATTTCTGATTATGAAAAGTGCGTGAACATGATCAGAACCATGTTTGTAAACCATTACAATTTATGTTATGATTTATGTTCAATAATTATTGATTTTAAGGAACGCGTTTGAAGAAGGATTGGAAGAGGGAGATGGTGTCCTTACCTTGCAGAAACTCATAGTTAAATACCAGGTAAAAGTAACGTTCAGCCTTTATTTGGTGATTTTATTTCTTTCTCAGTTACTATGATAGCAAAGKTTGCATACCTATTTAATAAGCGCTTTTTAAACCATAGAGCATCAACCAAATTCAACGCAACTAAACTTCCTTTTCCTATTYCTCCCGCGCGGGCCAGAGAATAGATTTCAAATCAGTTATTAAGCAAATGTTTCTCGGAATGAAAAAATTCCAGTTTCAGGCAGGATTCGAACTCGTGACCTTTTGTTTGCTTCCTGCTCCCAGTATGTGTCGTGACAAGGTTGACTCGTTATGGATTTGATTCAATACAATACAATACAATACAATAATCTTTATTTAGAGAGGGTAACACTTAACAGTACATAAAGATAACTGATCAACTAGTGGCCCTCATATATATAATCAAGCTACAAAATATCTAAGAATTATAAAATAACACGTAATACTAATAAAATAAGTGATTATTAAATATAATTATTGAATCTAAGGCACGATTTGAGCGCCGAAGACCCACGTGCACCCATCAATCAGCGCAAACCGGAAAACTCAAAAAGCACTGACGGTAGCAGATGCACCCGGGACCCGAGGCCCAAAACGGGCCAAAACAATATCTAATTACTGATCTAATTTACTGATTCCAACTTTTTCCTTGAAGAGCTTGGGAGGATCTGAGAAAGTTGCGCGGGAGTTATTTGCTATGCTCAAGCCCAAAAACGAAGAGTATGCTACGACTGAAGAGGTTAAGAAAAACCTTTCTGATGTACTTGAACTGTACAAGAAAATAAGAGATGACGATAAATCAGGTAACTTTTAAGTTCGGCTTTTATCTGTTGTTTTGTATAGTGAGTTCAAGAGTGGTTGCAAGAAAAACGAACGATACACTGATATGCATAATGATGCGCAATATACCGACGCGCACAGTGGCGCGCAATACACTGATATGCATAATGATGCGCAATATACCGACGCGCNATATGCATAATGATGCGCAATATACCGACGCGCACAGTGGCGCGCAATACACTGATATGCATAATGATGCGCAATATACCGACGCGCACAGTGGCACGCAATACACTGATATGCATAGTGATGTGCAATATACCGACGCGCACAGTGGCGCGCAATACACTGATTTGCATAGTGATGTGCAATATACCGACGCGCACAGTGGCACGCAATACACTGATTTGCATAGGGATGCGCAATACACTGGTGCATAGAGTGGCGCGCAATATGCTAACGCGACAGTGGTGGGCATTAATGATGCGCAATATTCTAAAGCGGATATTGATGCACAACTGAAGAGCACAGTGATGTGCAATATACTGACGCGTTAAGCGCTGCGCAGTATGCTAAGACGCTCTGTGATGCGCCATATCCTGCCGCGCTCAACACACGTGAGAGTATTGGCTTCAGTAGAAGAAAGTGGGAAGAAATACTTTCACACACCTAGAGCACCACACCAAAATACTTGAGCAGGGCTTTCTTTGACTCTTGGTTCTCGCGAGAATCCATACCTATTAACCGCGAACGTAAAGGGAAATAAAAGCGTAAATACAACTCAAACTTTCTTTTTTATCAGGTGTTTTCTACGAGCAGCATTACAGAGAAGATAAAGAAATAATGACAGAAACATTAAAGGAGAATGAAAACATTGAGTCAAAGGAACCACGTGAAGAATTGTGAAATAAAAAAGTGTATATTAAATAATTCCAAATATCCTAACACGCACAAAACACAATAGAGAGTTTTAGATTTACGTTAACGGCAAACGTGAAACGTCAGTTAACCAGTAAACGAATTCTTTTACATTACTGAAAAGGAATCGCAAAAAAATCCAAGCAGTAGGAAAAAAAGAATACTTGTCTTTGTCGAGAGGTTTGCAGAAGGTAAAGTGAAATACAGGGAAACGATGAACAAGTAGTCACGTTTGCCGTTTGCGGAAACAATAGTCATCCTAAGACTAATATCCTGACACGTTCAACGTTACCATATGCAAATGGCATATGCGCGTTATAAATATTAAATTATTAATGATAATAATATTATTAGATTTAACTAAATTATCATTATATTAGTCCACTATCATCTAAATATGAATGCACATGTATGTAAAGTATTATTCGTTTAAGACAGAAAATAAATATGCTCATGACTTTAATTTGTAGTGTCCTTTTAGATAAATAATAGCGCCATAGGAGCAAAGAACGGTTGTACTACCAGTTTAAGGTGACTGCTTACTTTTGGGAAAAAATTTAAGCTTTTTTTAAAACTTGGATTTTCCGAATTCGAATTTAATACTGATTCTAAATCTGGATAGAAAATTGGGTGTCCCGAGCTTGCTTTCGAGATAATCATCATTTAATGGAAGCCTACGCGCGAGTATGATTTGGAGCAAAAATTGAGACACCGGAAGTACGGTTAGGTATTTCACGTAACGAT